GGAGAATGTTTGTGTTTATAACAGACCTTAAGAAAAATAAGAAGATGGGGTATTATTGTCAATATTAGAAAACAATGCACCAGAGACTGAAAAACGCCACATAGTTTTTTTTTTTAAATTCACATTGAACGTATAGACTCTGGGCGATTTAGATCCTGACATTTTTATAAAGGCATGTCTATTGTTGAGTATTTAAGTTGCCCTGTAAGAGCCTGTCTTTTGGAGAAGGCTATATTTTGCTCTCTAGATGTCTAAGTTATTTATGTGCATGGTTGGGTTGCTATCTCATTCACCAGAAGTTCATGACTTCTGCATTTACTTATACCCCACATCTACCTTCATTCATAGAAAAAAGTACGGTCTGATAGAAATGATTACACTGATATTGAAAGGCAAAGTAATATTATTTTTGAAATATCAGAAAAACTGTTGCACATATCAAATGATATGTCAAAGAGAGTGCCCAACTGTTTTTGAATTTATTATTATAATTTAACTGTTGAATAAGTATTTTTTTTTATATCATCGGACATTTGAATGTTCTAGATGCACAATTAACATATTGGATAGAAAATAAAAGGATATGGAGTAAATGTACATGGGACAAAATCGCACACAATACATAGAAAACATAGAAAATTATCAATGAATAGTGCTTTTATTCCTGTTCTACATCTTGACAGTTGATGTAGGGTCTTCAACAATGAACGAATCATTCCAATATTTCAACATTCAAAATTTTAGTTAAATCTCTCGTGCACACTAGACATGCTAGACGGGGCTATATATGTTCATGTATAAACATCCCTGAGTACAGAAGTTGACGGAGTTATACGTTAAGTGTACATTAAACTTTTAGTACTGTCAAATGATATTCAAAATCAGCATGAATGTCGGTCTACATCTTTCATTAATTGAATAGCTGGCAGATGAAAAAAATAAAGATAAATCTAATAACTTTTTCACCTGCCATGGCAATAGTTTATGATTGTACAAATAAAATATTGACAAATCATTTTAAAGCAACTGTCATGTTTTTTCCATATACAACAATGTTAAATTTTATCAGTCCAGAAGTGCTCCCTTGTTATTCACTGATAACGTTACCCCTGCTGAGCTGTCCCTGATTTTTGTGTATGTTTAAACTATCAATAACAATTTCAGTCCTGAAACCCACTTTTGTTAGTATCATTCTCTCAATACAGGTTTTCAATAATTATCCTATTGAAAGAGCTTGTTTTGCAACAAATAGGCCAACCAAAATTATGTACCTTTTATTATGTCCTTATTCAAAATTTTGGTTAGCATGTACAATAGTCTATAATTTAATGTGGGTAACCAAATAAAACTTGGGTAAGTATCAAATAATAAACTGAACAAATTTTTTTTTTCTTTGAAACCCTTTTTTTTTCGAACACTCAAAATGGTTGAAAAAGTCTTTCTAGGAGAGTATAAGGATTCAACAGACTATTTTGATCATTTGACTTGTTTCGAGGTCTTGTCCTGATTTTTTTTTTGCTATTATCAGTTTCTCTCTATCTACTGTAGTTACCGTTATAAAAATACAACAAAAATGGGTAAAAATTGTGTCTTTCAAGAGGAATTACTCCTAAAAGGAATTAATTTAGAATTTCAGACTTGCAAGTGATCAGAAATAGGTTTTAAACTTTATACCCCAAGGATGATAGTTGTCAAGTTTGTTCTAAATAGTCCAGTAGTTTTAAACTTTATACCCCAAGGATGATAGTTGTCAAGTTTGTTCTAAATAGTCCAGTAGTTTTAAACTTTATACCCCAAGGATGATAGTTGTCAAGTTTGTTCTGAATAGTCCAGTTGTTTTAAGCTTTATACCCCAAGGATGATAGTTGTCAAGTTTGTTCTGAATAGTCCAGTTGTTTTAAACTTTATACCCCAAGGATGATAGTTGTCAAGTTTGTTCTAAATAGTCCAGTAGTTTTAAACTTTATACCCCAAGGATGATAGTTGTCAAGTTTGTTCTGAATAGTCCAGTTGTTTTAAACTTTATACCCCAAGGATGATAGTTGTCAAGTTTGTTCTGAATAGTCCAGTAGTTTTAAACTTTATACCCCAAGGATGATAGTTTTCAAGTTTGTTCTAAATAGTCCAGTTGTTTTAAACTTTATACCCCAAGGATGATAGTTGTCAAGTTTGTTCTAAATAGTCCAGTAGTTTTAAATTTTATACCCCAAGGATGATAGTTGTCAAGTTTGTTCTAAATAGTCCAGTAGTTTTAAATTTTATACCCCAAGGATGATAGTTGTCAAGTTTGTTCTGAATAGTCCAGTAGTTTCAGAGGAGAAAGTTTCTGTAAAAGTTAAAAGAGGAGGGACAGGATACTAAGTTATGAAAAAACCTCACATGGTACTCTTGGCCAAGTGAGCTAAAAAATAATTGAAAATTGTCACTTATTCGAACAATTGCAAAATGAAAATGATTAAAGTATGGTAAAGCCAATTTATATATAAAATTTTCTAATAATAGTGTTGCCTAGTTAATCTTGTTGTCTCCCACACCATTAGAAACATGCAGCAGTGACAGCACCTATCAATTACCAGGGAATGTGAAGAATTCTCAGAAGAGTCATTCCATAAATCATCCACGCTGTTACTGACAGGAACAACACAAAATTATCTATAATTGCCATAAATGTCCATAATTTCTTTTAATCAAAGCAAACTGTACTTTATTGAACACAAGCTTTAAGATTGTTTTTAGTCATAAAACAGGAACTTTTATCTCACAAAAAATAAACACATCATAGTTAAATTAAAACCATTTTTGGATGTTGTACTGACATGCAAGAAGCCAAAATTTTTGTGACATTACATAAATTATAATTCATGTCACATCAAGTTGTCTTACTTTTCATAGTTATAAATAAGAAACAAAATAAGAAACAAATATTTCATTTCAGTTTCAGAAAATACATGCAAGAAATTTTGGGGCTGACTGTTTTCAACTCATCAGAACTAAATTTGAAGAACCTTTGGCTTCCTCATCACAAAGCAGAATGAATACCCAGGAAACATCATTAGAGTAATCAGGTAATTTGCATGTGCACATGTCTTAAGGTGAAAGTCCACAGCGACAAAAAGTCAAATCTGCTCTAAGTTTAATGTTAGAATGAATAATTCAGTGGTTGTCCTTAGTTTCTGTATATCATATTTGCTTTTCATTTGTTTATAAATCAGAACAAAGGTTTTCAGGATATGTCATGTCAATGCTTTCTATTGCTGACTTTACTGTATGGGTTTGCTCATTGTTGAAGACTGAACAGTGACCTATAATTGCTTACATCTATGTCATTTGGTTTTATTGGCAATCATACTACATCTCCTTATTTTCATATTTGGTCTTATTGGCAATCATACTACATCTCCTTATTTTTATATTAATGTTGATTATCTCTCTGATACAAGAAATTGAAGGATCAACATCCTGTTGACAATTAATTATTCTTACTAACTGACTTCAGCACAATTTGTGGTTTGAGATTATAGTGTTATCAACTTGCTGTTTCTGTAGTGGCCCTGTTATAGATTCGAGGTTAGCTGTATTGGACCAGAGACTCAAAGAGTTGAGGGTCAATACTCTATAACAGGGCCAATACAAAAACAGCCAGTTCATAACACTTTTAAGTTCTAAGAAATTTATCCTTAAATACATTGTACAATGTAGTTACACGAAATCACATTTATATCTTATACAATATCTTATTTGTATTAAATGTATCCAAAATTTGGTGAAGCATAAAAAATTTGCAACCAGAAGTGAAAAATCCTTTATTGCTTTTTGGCCAGGTCCAATACTGCTTTTTCCCGTATTGGACCAGGTGGAAAAGCAATAATAACTCATGATCTATATAGACAGGGGGACATCATCAGTATTGCACATGCTGATTTATTGGTATGAAGGCTGATTTATCAGTATGAAGGCTGATTTATTGGTATTAAGGCTGATTTATCGGTATGAAGGCTGATTTATCGGTATTTAGGCTGATTTATCGGTATTAAGGCTGATTTATCGGTATGAAGGCTGATTTGCTCATACCATTTAATAATAGATAATATAAATTGCTGTCTGAAGATATTGCAGAATAAGACATTTGTACAAATCAACAAACTTTAAAATAAATTTGCATTTTCGAGGATGGTACCAAAGACAAATTAACACCAAGATAACAACACTTGATATAATGAATGAAGTAATCAGTGTTCACACAACATTCTCTGAACAAAGACTGTAGAATGAAGTAATCAGTGTTCCCACAACATTCTCTGAACAGACTGTATAATGAAGTAATTAGTGTTCACACAACGTTCTCTGAACAAAGACTGTAGAATGCAGTAATCAGTGTTCACACAACATTATCTGAACAAAGACTGTAGAATGAAGTAATCAGTGTTCACACAACATTTTCTGATCAGACTGTAGAATGAAGTAATCAGTGTTCACACACACAACATTCTCTGAACAAAGACTGTAGAATGAAGTAATCAGTGTTCAAACAACATTCTCTGAACAAAGACTGTAGAATGAAGTAATCAGTGTTCACACAACTTTATCTGAACAAAGACTGTAGAATGAAGTAATCAGTGTTCACACAACATTCTCTGAACAAAGACTGTAGAATGAAGTAATCAGTGTTCACACAGCATTCTCTGAACAAAGACTGTAGAATGAAGTAATCAGTGTTCACACAAAATATTCTGAACAAAGACTGTAGAATGAAGTAATCAGTGTTCACACAACATTATCTGAACAAAGACTGTACTGTGGATTCATTATTATTCGTGGGATACCAATTTTCGTGGATTTCATGGGTATAGGTAAACCAGGAAGTAAAAATATTTTACAGGTCTATAAAGAGACTTTAGAAAAAACAAAAAATCAAATATCCATGAAGATACAGTTTTACCTCACCCACTAAAATGAAGGAATTCACAGGAGTTTACTTTAAGGTAAATTTTGACGGTTACCTTTTGATAGCTGCAGCAGATCTATGTTATCCAAGCCAATGTATGATACATTATTTTTAACACATGCATGGAGAACCAACTGAAAAATCTCATAGGCTGGTTCAAAATACTCCTCAATTTGCCTCCAGTATACTGATCTGAAAGTAGACAAAAAAAAATTTAATAAAAAAATAATTATGAATAAAATGTGATTTTGGTACCTGTCAATGTGACAGCAGTCCAACAAAAAAATAAACAAAAAGAAATATAAAGGTCAATGCAGAGCTACAACAATAATTTAGTGCTAATGTGAGCACTGAAGGGTAAAGATTTTGAAGTGGAAATTAAATCTTAAACATTGCAAAGTATTAAGCATTGGAATGCATAAGTAACTATGAATTGGAGATATAGTTGTAGATGTTTCAGCTGCAATTATGTATAATGGAAGATAACACCAATTTTAAATATCACTTTAACAATGACATCATTTATATTTTTAGAACAGATACTAGATTCATGCACCAATGCACAATTTATGTAATTTTCTTGACAAGTATCATTGTGATTAAATCTGGAAAATTGATAACTATCAAGTCAGCCACATTTGGGTTTTGATTGCATGATCCTGTATCGCACACCTGGCATTTTATAAAACTGATACAATGAGAATTTTGTGTTAAATAGAAACTGAGGGCTAAAATTTGTCTTGCTGGTCTGAGTTTCTGTCTATCTGTATTGTTTTAAGATAATAAGCAAAAATTGCAGATCTTATCTTGTTCATAATTTTTGCTATTTACAGTTTCTGGCAAAAATGTAACAATGGTGTCATTCAGAAGCAACAATTCTAAAGAAGTCTACCGATAATTTGGCAATGTTGACTAATCTGCAGATCTTATTTTGCTGGTCTTTTTGCTGAGCCTGCGACTTTTGTCGCAAAAGCGAGACATAGTGATTCTACATTCTGTTTTCGTCGTAGTCGTCGGCAGAGTCCGCAAATTTTTAAAGTTTTTGAAATTTTAATAACTTTCTATAGCTATCCTGGATTTCTACCAAACTTGGACAGAAGCTTGCTTATGATCATAAGATAGTTTCCAGAAGTACATTTTGTAAAAAAATAATCCTGTTTATCCGTATTTTACGTATAAATGGACTTAGTTTTTCTGCCAGTTAACATAACATTCACTTTGTGGTTAAAGTTTTTAAAATTTTAATAACTTTCTTAAACTATCCTGGATTTGTACCAAACTTGGACATAAGCTTGTTTATGATCAAAAGCTAGTATCTAGAAGGAAATTTTGTAAAAATTTATTTCCTGTTTTCCGTATAGTACTTATAAATGGACTTAGTTTTTCTTCCAGTTAACATTACATACAGTCTGCAGTTAAAGTTTTTAAAACATTTATTAGATTCATAAACCATCCTGGATTTTTACCAAACTTGGATAGAAGCTTCTTACAATCAAAAGATAGTATCTAGAGGAAAATTTTTAATAATTTTTTCCCCATTTTTGTTGAGACTGCGACTAACAGCAAAAGTAGGCGAGACACTGAGTCCCGAGGAACCCGTACAAATTTTTTCTTATTTACATTTTCTGCCTATCTACTATTGTTTCTATCAAATTGGTAGATGTAATTTAAGGGCAATAACTCCTTAAAAGAGTTGATATTTTTGGCCATGTTTGGCTTATTTATAGACCTTATTTTGCTGATCATATTGCTATTTACAGTTTCTCTCTATGTACTACAGTTTCCATGAAAAAACACAAAAAAATGGCTAAGAATCATCATTCAAGGACAATAACTCCTTTACTTAATAGCCTGATGATATGCAGCAGTTTGACAAACGATAATTTTGATCATTGAGAGGCTTGATTTCTCTTTACAAATGGTATGTAATTAAAAGGTACAGTTGATTTTTAAGAGTTAACTCCCTTAGGTGTTCTGGAGGCAATATAAATTGCATTGCTGTGACATTGTTATTGGAAGCATGTGCAGTTATGAATGTTGCATTTTATTGGTGAAAAAAATACTGTAAATTAATTAATGCATGCAATTATTATTGTGAATCACTAATACCTAGTAAAAATACTAGATTTAATTAATGCAATTGCAAAAATTTGGTGAATGCAAGTTTTTTATTATTGCAAATTGTATATTTTAGTATTTTTCACATTACTAAAACCATTGCAATAATTTGTGATTTTACGGTACATTAATATTGGAATGCCGTGCAATCAAAATTATAGATTCTTATAAAACTTACATGCAGTGTAATTATATCACATAATGCTGAAATGCTGAAACAACAAGGTTGACCTTAACCAAACATTGACAGGAATAATGTATGGTCTTTTTAAGATATATATATATAACATGTATAAGGAGTTGTTGCCCTTGGGAGACTATTCATACCATTTTTTTTTACATTTGAGACAAAAACTATAGGAATTAAAGCCAAACTGAAAAAAGCAAAAAATGATCACAAAATTAAAATCTACAAATGAGTAAAAAAGATTGAAATCATCAGTTAACTCCTGATAGGAGTTGGAGTTGGAAGTGGAGATTTTTGTTCTTAATAAATAATGAATGCAAGGTCCTGTATCAAATACCTTGAAACCTCTCACACATTGGGTATATAGTCATTCCATAGAGTCCTGTATAAAATACCTTGAAACCTCTCACACACATTGGGTATATAGTCATTCCATAGAGTCCTGTATAAAATACCTTGAAACCTCTCATACACATTGTGTATATAGTCATTCCATAGAATCCTGTAAAAAATACCTTGAAACCTCTCACACACATTGGGTATATAGTCATTCCATTATAGCCCTGTATAAAATACCTTGAAACCTCTCATACACATTGGGTATATAGTCATTCCATAGAGTCCTGTATAAAATACCTTTAAACCTCTCATGCACATTGGGTATAATCATTCCATAGAGTCCTCTACAAAATACCTTGAAACCTCTCACACACATTGGGTATATAGTCATTCCATAGAATCCTCTATAAAATACCCTGAAACCTCTCATACACAATGGGTATATAGTCATTCCATAGAGTCCTGTATAAAATACCTTGAAACCTCTCATGCACATTGGGTATAATCATTCCATAGAGTCCTGTATAAAATACCTTGAAACCTCTCATACACATTGGGTATATAGTCATTCCATAGAATCCTGTATAGAATACCTTGAAACCTCTCATGCACATTGGTTATAATCATTCCATAGAGTCCTGTATAAAATACATTGAAACCTCTCATACACATTGTGTATATACTCATTCCATACCAACCTGTATAAAATACCTTGAAACCTCTCATACACATTGGGTATATAGTCATTCCATACCATCCTGTATAAAATACCTTGAAACCTCTCATACACATTGGGTATATAGTCATTCCATACCATCCTGTATAAAATACCTTGAAACCTCTCATACACATTGGGTATATAGTCATTCCATAAAATCCTCTATAAACTACATTGAAACCTCTCATACACATTGGGTATATAGTCATTCCATACCATCCTGTATAAAATACCTTGAAACCTCTCATACACATCGTGTATATAGTCATTCCATAAAATCCTCTATAAACTACATTGAAACCTCTCATACACATTGGGTATATAGTCATTCCATACCATCCTGTATAAAATACCTTGAAACCTCTCATACACATTGGGTATATAGTCATTCCATAAAATCCTCTATAAACTACATTGAAACCTCTCATACACATTGGGTATATAGTCATTCCATACCATCCTGTATAAAATACCTTGAAACCTCTCATACACATTGGGTATATAGTCATTCCATACCATCCTGTATAAAATACCTTGAAACCTCTCATACACATTGGGTATATAGTCATTCCATACCATCCTGTATAAAATACCTTGAAACCTCTCATACACATTGGGTATATAGTCATTCCATAGAATCCTGTATAAAATACCTTGAAACCTCTCATGCACATTGGGTATAATCATTCCATAGAATCCTGTATAAAATACCTTGAAACTTCTCATACACATTGGGTATATAGTCATTCCATAGAATCCTGTATAAAATACCTTGAAACCTCTCATACACATCGTGTATATAGTCATTCCATAGAATCCTTTAAAATCAAAATAGTTTTCAATAAAAATCTAATGGTTCATTTATCCAAGAACAATATATGTCAATCAAAAATGAAACCAAACAGACCCATAAAACCAATTATATTCCTGTTCTCCACTCCTACAGAATATTTTCATACTCTCTAAACAGGACAGATTTATTGCAGTTAGCTGTCAACAATTAATGTACAGAGTGGAAATTTAGTCACTTTTAAAATAGAATCAATTTCCATTACTGATTAAAATTCAAAATGACAATTATGATTTTATATCAGATTTGTTTCTTTTTTTAATGTACTTTAAGGAGTTAAATTTATAAGTTATTAAGAATAATATAAAGAAACTTGAGTACATAAATGAAGAATTCTAGATGTTGATTTTCTGTTTTTGTTTTTTATTCTGTTCGTTATGTCTGTGAATCTATGCATTCACATGAGATGCTGAATTTTACTTTTTCCCACGTTTAAATGCTAACTTTGGAATAATAGATTTCACATTCCACCGGTTATGATACATGTAATCCAGAAAATAATTGGAGACTGGATGCTTCAAAGAAACTGAACTGCTCACCTGGCATCAATGCCTTTTGTCAAAATTATAGACTGCACTCTTCAGCTTATTTAAAGCCAATTTAGCCTACTGAACTTTTAAAGCAATAACAGACCAGCTAGATTTCCATTGTTGCATATTTTACTTAATTATAAATTGAATTAAAATTTTGCTATTTTCAGCTATAATTTTATCAGATCAAATCATATTATTTTAAATTCTAGACTTTTTTCCCCTGATTTAAATCTAATTGGATCAATATTCGCCAAAAAATTTCAGAAAAGGAGATGAAAATATAATAGGATCAATTAGGAAATTGTGAAACATCATAACAACATTATATCTGGTCTGAGAGTTAGTGTGTATCCAGGAGTAACAACATTATATCTGGTCTGAGAGTTAGTGTGTATCCAGGAGTGACAACATTATATCTGGTCTGAGAGTTAGTGTGTATCCAGGAGT